TGTTGACCTGATTTCAGATCTTTTATTTTAATCTAAATATACCCCCTCTTATCCGGACATTGTAACCAATTCCTCATATCCGGGAAGCCTTCTTAGTCCGGTTGGCACGGATTCTACTGCATATGATAAATATATTGTTTTATGGTATGCCATGTTTATGGGTAAAAAGTGATTAATGCCAGCAATAGATCGTATGTAAATATAAAAGTGGACACAAATTATAACGACACTAATTAATCAATAATAAATAATGGCTAAAATGTTAAAAAGCAACGCTATAAAATAGCCGCTTTCAAATCCACAATAATTTGTACATATTAACCTCTAGAATAATTTGAAATATAACTCAGTAACCGTTAGGATAATACAATAGTGATTTTCTAAGCGCTGCTTGGATGTGGCACAAGGCCGGAATTATGGAGCACCCAGTGAGGATCGAACTAACTACTCAGTCGTAATATGTTCTAGCGAGACAAGCTTGCTAACCATTACACCACGCCGAGGTGCCCAGGATAATGCAATAGGTTTTGCTACCTATAATTCACGACTATAAATAGTCGAGACAATACATAACGCACGTGGCCCGAGAATTGTGTTTAAGCATCATACAAAATGTCGCCACAGCGTCTTGACCTCAGTTTCCATCTATCTATCTATCTATCTATCTATCTATCTATCTATCTATCATGTGTAACAGCAAAATTAAATTGTCCAAATTGTGTTACAGCATGTCCATCCCACAAAATGTTTAATATTTAAAATTTTTTTAAAGTAATTGAGTTTCTTTTTCCAGGTTTTCAGATAAGACGTATATCCATACTGATGGATGGCATCAGTACGGATATATGTCATAAGAATCACTGTAAAACTCTTTGACTCAGCTAGCAAGAGAATAGGTTAAAATCGTTTTGTGTCAGGCACACTGTCGTCTCAACTGAGTAATGGTGAGAGAAAAAAATCCTTCAGGCCCTCAGTAATGATACCGACTTTCATAATCTGGCTTCCATCTTCAAAATCCATTCAAGAACCATCAAGAGAAAGGTGAACAAGTTTTAAAAAGGTAATATTAGAGAGGAAAACTGGATCAGGAGCTCACAATCATTTGAACTTAGCGTTAACGAGATCAATTAGAAAAGATCCAACTCAACCCATAAAACGTTTCAGGTATGACAGTGAAAAAAGACTTGAAAATGAAATCGTACGTGAAACATGTGAGGCAGATTAATACACCAGGACAGAAAGTTAGAAGATTAGAGAGGGCTAAAATCATCTTGAATAATTTGTAAAAGGATCCTGGAATAATATATATATATATATATATATATATATATATATATATATATATATATATGAACTTAATTTCAACCCATCATAAGCTTCCGATCCTTAGCTATGATGGACATGTCATTTTCGTTTATGATCTATTTCATCACTATTCTTCTGTTAAGCTTGGAGATTAATTAAAAAATTTTTATTGCTCAAAGTAAAGTTCTATAGTGTTATAAAAACCTCGGGGAATTCCAGTAAGATATTTTTAATCATTTCTAAGATACAACGGTTCAAACGGTAAATTTGCCGATAATGTCCCAGCGACAAATTAGAAAAAAAGACTATTCCTGGTATAAAATCGCCTGATTATTCCCAAAATAGCAGTAAAAATTGGCAGAAATCTACCGTTTACAAGATATAAACAATTTTACTTGGGTTCCGGTTACCCTCGATTACAGCGCAAAAGTTTACTGGTGCATTATCTGTAATCAAATCTGAACAATTTTGCTGTTTATATATATATATATATATATATATATATATATATATATATATATATTATTATTTATTTTAAAAAATTATAACATAAATATATTATAAAATCACTACAAAAATTGCCATTATGCCTCATATATATATATATATATATATATATATATATATATATATATATATATATATATATGAGGGTGGAGGTGGTTCAGATTGAGGAATCGGAGACCTGATTTCGAATTCCAGTCGAATCCATTACATTCACTTACGTGCTAAAGGAAAGGTATGAATCCTCTTCTTCTCCCCACCGCTGGGTAAATAGCAGGACAGACCAAGTTCTATAGCCTTGGATGGCAACTGGTCTACCGCAGAAAGAAATGCCAAACTACTGCAGGAAAAAATCTGCTTCCTCAGTCATGTATCGAAAGATACGTGATCGCCTACAGGTTTATCCCGCATGGAACGTAACTGAGAAATATAATATATATATATATATATATATATATATATATATATATATATATATATATATATATATGTATTCTTTATATTTTAGCTATAATAAAAATAATTGTGCTTGACCTAAAACCAATGATTTCTGTAAACACATTCAATTTTAGAATTAAGTCTCTGATGAGTGGATATAATTTCCCCGAAACCCAAACTGCAGACAAAATAAGTAAACATATAAATTTTATTACTATATATAAATAATGTAAACAATGTAAAAAGCATTTGTGAAAAACAATTGGGTATGAACTGAAATATAATTTTATTTATAAAATAATATTACAGTTAAATAAGTTTTGGAAACACCTGTGCGTATTCCTAAATGCATGTATATGTGCGTGTGCATTTGAGTATTTACGTGTGCATTTGTATATATAAGTGTGTAACGTGGCAGATAGAACTGTAATAATAAACGGTATACGCTATTCAAACGGAAAAATCACAATAAGAAAATCGAACAACAATTTTAAAAAACATGAGAATAGAAAACAATGAAGAAAAATTTTCGAACCAACTGACAAAAAGCAAAAGAAATAATTTGAAAAATAATATGAAATGAAAAAAAGCTTCTTTAAATGCAGAAAATAAAAACGAGCAGAAAAGAAAATCCTAAAAATGAAAAAAAAACCCCAAAAAACAACTCCTTCTTCAACAAATAAATGCAAAACAAAAGAATAAATAAAATTATCCGTAAAATGCTTGAAAGAAAAAGAAAACCAGTAAAAGGAACGCCAACAAGATGGCGGCAAACAAACAGGAGAAAGAAGTAATGAACGCTCGGTGAAAATAAACTTTCATTAGTTCCAGAAACAAGCTGATGTATAATTAACGGAAGAAATGATACCAACGCGATTGGTCATCGGCTTATTTTGGCGTCGTCTTTTAGCCAATCAGGCTTTTATAAACGGACGTACGCCCATGCAAACAACTCTTTCTCTCTCGCAGACACACAAACACACAATCACACGCACACTCGTGCATGTGAACAGATAGATACATGCATACATACTATCTATCTATCTATCTATCTATCTATCTATCTATCTATCTATCTATCTATCTATCTATCAACATTGGAACAAATACACATCTATCTATCCAAAAATATATGTTTGTAAGTGCATGTTTTTTTTATATGTTCTATTTAAACGACCAGCTACGCTCTCTCTCTCACGCACGCACGCACACACACACACACAAATATATATAAATGACACGAGAAGAAAACCGACATGAGGCATGAAGACGCGATATTTGAAAAACGATGAAACTGGCATAGAACACACAAACATTTTTGATGATGGCGTATTAAACCCGAATGTATTTTGGGAAATTTCTATATAAAGATTTACTGGAAAGCAGAAAATGTATGAAATATAGAAAGAATTAACAAAAAACAAAAAAAAAAAAAAATCCTTATCAAAGAACTTTCGTTTGCGTTTAACCGAACTTATATATAACTTGGGATATATATATATACAACTTGGGATTATCCCTACGGATTACCAAACTTTTCATTACTTCAGATTGAGGAATAGGAATGTATTTTATAATATATATTAATGGTCAATATATATATATATATATATATCCATTTCGAAGAGGATAAAATCCAGACAGAGCTCAATCTACAATAAGCAAGATATATATAAAAGGCTCAAACACTAATATTCCATGGTTATAATTTATTAGATTGGAATCGTAATCACGATCCAATTCATCAGAAAGTTATATATATATATATATATATATAAATATATATAAAAATATATATATATATATATATGTACAAACTATATAAAATTAAACATATATATACTATATATATATAAAATTATATATATAATATATACTATATATATAAAAAATATATAAAATTAAATATATATATAATATATATATATATATAATCATATATATATATATAAACTATATAATATATATAAATAACTATATAAAATTATATATATATACAATTGTTATTATATATATATATATATATATATATATATATATATATATATATATATATATATATAAATTGGTCAGAGTTAAATTAGACCATGAAACAGTTTTATTAAAAAGTGCTCAATATCTGTATAAAAAGAAAATTTTTTTCAAAATTTAACGAGCAGAGCTTTTAAAAATTGGGAGATCAACCAATTACGCTACCATCGTTTTAAATCTCCTGAGGATACCCTAAAGTTGAAACCATGGTAGCATAATTGGCTGATGTACTAATTTTTATATATATATATATAAATGTGTGTGTGTGTGTGTGTTGTTGTGTGTGTGTGTGTGAGAGAGAGAGAGAAATAGAAGGATATGGGAAGAATAAAGAAAAACGTTTATAAATTTAACATGTTTCGCTTTTTATTTAGGCTTCATCAGAAAAATTTCTTTGAAGCTTAAAATGTTTTTTCTGAATAATAAGTAAAAAGCGAAACATGTTAAACTTAAAAATGTTTTTCCTATTTGTTGATTTTTTATGTCAGAATTTTTTTTTATGAATTCATATATACAGAGTCTAACGTTAACAAGATATCTTTAAATTTTTAAAAACTTAATCTAACAAAGACGACTAATACGATTTAAACAAATTTTTGTTAACCGTATATATATATATATATATATATATATATATATATATATATATATATATATATATATATGTTAAATCAGTGAAATTAAGTAGCTATTTTTTCGTCATTGTCATAAATTTAAAATTTAAATATAAAAAAAATTTTTAAAATTTGTAACCCCCTTATACTTGATGTGAAAAAAACATACTGTAGGGATTCTAATTACATTTAATTGTTCCTAAAAGAAATATAAAGTATATTAAAAATAAAAAGTGAAAAATATTTCAAATCGTTGTTAAATAAAAAACGTATTCGAACCTAAACACCCTTTAAATATACAAAGAAAAAAAAATGCCGTAAGAATTTTTGTTAACAATAAAATTTTAAAAATCCAGACGACATGCATTTAACGGATGGATTTCATTGAAAAATCTGTAACTAATAACTGATACATCAAAATACAGACATAATGAACATGATTTTAGTGGAAGTGGATTTATCTTTGGAAACGTGAATTATGATTTTAGCTGTGTCTTTAAACCCAGTAATTTTAAAAGTTACTCCAAAATTCGCTTGAGGATGAAATGGAACTAATGTCTTTAATTTAATTACAAAATTAAATTCAGACTTTTAGCTTCTATTTTTGAAACATGGTTAGAACTGTGTAGCGAAAAAAACATTTTAAATCAATTAATATATATATATATATATATATATATATATATATATATATGAAAAGTGTAGTGTATATAAATATAAATAAATATATATATGTATAATTATTTATATATTATATATATGAGCGTGAAACCCAGGGTCACAAACTCACATGTATCCAACCAAATATATATATATATATATATATATATATATATATATATATATATATATATATATTCAAATAATAGGAAGGAACAATCAGATTTATAATCCAGAATTCTTTAGCAATTTCTTTTTATTTAAAAAAAAAACAGTGCTCAATACAAAGTAGAGCATAATATAAAATAACCCAGACAATAATAAATTAATAGCTTGAAAGAAAGTCAGTGTAGCTTGGTCAAAATCATAACCGCCACCCAACCTTAACTAACTTTAAATTTGCCACACAAAGATACACTTGCTTTCTCCATTTGTAGAAAAGCCAACACCCCATTAAGAAAAAACAAAACAAAACAAAAAACAAAAAACTGAGAATTCTCTTATACCACCAACTTAAAAATAGTAAAGAATAGTAAAAATAGAGTAAATCCAATTTTTTCGTAAGTTTTTCTTAGCATCGCTTGAGAATGGAACTGAGCTCTGAATTTTAAGTTTAAACTTAGAAGTTAAATTTTATAATTTAAGCTTCGGTTTCGAAACAGTAATTACTTTGTCGCGATGGAGACATATTTTAAAAAAAGAAATAATATAATAATATATATATATATATATATATATATATATATATATATATATATATATATATATATATATATATCAGGTCATCTCATAAGTTCTGTCCGAATTTTAAATACAGAAAACAAGTGACCAAATGTTACATTTAATTATAGATTCAATCAACAATGTATTTTCCCTGATTATCTATGACTTCCTTCCATCTATTAACAAGCTTACTAATTCCATTTCTGTAAAATTCTTTTGGCTTTGATTCGAAGAACTCACAAATGTCAGTTTTAACCTCTTCCTGTGTTACAAAAGCTGTTTCTTCAAAATGATTCTGTAAGCTACGAAACAAATGGTAGTCTGAAGGAACAAGATCGGGAGAATAAGGTGGATGAGGAATTTTCTCCCAACAAAGTTCTTCGATCTTTTGTGACGTGATTCTTGCTGTTTGGGGTCGCGCATTGTCCTGATGAAATATCATCTCTTTTCGATTCACTAGAGCAGGTCTTTTTTCCTCAAAGCTTGGTTCAAACGCTCTAATTGCTGACAGTATATTTGAGCATTAATTGTTGCATTAGGTGGTAAGAATTCAAAGTGGATTATTCCTTGGCGATCCCACCAGATTGAAAGAAGAAACTTTTGCCCATGAAGTTCCCTTCTCGGTTGTGGCTGGGGTCCTTCCCCTTTACCAAGCCACTGTTTACGACGCTTAACATTTCGATAAAAGATCCATTTTTCGTCGCCAGTCACAAGTCTATCCAAAAAAGGTGAAACAAGTTGGCGAGAATGGAGAGAAGAGCAGATGTCAACTCGGGATTTGAGGTTGTTTTCAGACAATTCATGAGGCACCCATTTTCCAAGTTTAGGAACTTTTCCAAGTTGTTGAAGATGACAATGAACAGTTTTATTGTTTGAACTGAGAACCACTGCCAATTCCTCAACTGATAAAGCTGGATTTTCTTCAAGGGCTGATTCAAGAAGCTTTTCATCAAACTCAACTGGACGTCCGGTTCGATCTTCATCTTCAAGGGTGAAATCTCCACCTTTGAATTTTGCAAACCATCTTCTGCAAGTTCTTTCATTCACACATTCCTTTCTATAAACTGAGTGAATGTTTCTGGCCGCTTCGGCTGCTGAGTTTCATTTCTTGAACTCATAAAGCATTATGTGCCTCAAATGATTCTTGGGTACTTCCATGTTAGCAGGGTTCTAATCAAACAAAATTTAATTTTATTGTTCTCTGAAATAAAATTTGATCAGTTTAAATGCATCTAAACATAAAAATAATGTTCAGCTCCATTAGGCATTATAAAATACTCTTTAAATTTCGTTCATTTTAACAAAAAGTTAAAATTCGGACAGAACTTATGGGATGACCTGATATATATATATATATATATATATATATATATATATATATGATTTTGGAGCCGTATTAAACATTAACCTAAATGGTGCTCACCCTCGTACAACGAGTAGACAATAATAACTATAACACACACACACACACACACACACACACACACACCCCCCACACATATATATATATATGTATGCTCAATCTAATACCTATATCTGGTTGTTCAGGTAGAATTACCTACTTACTTAAACAAGAAAAGGAATCAAAATACTTTTAATCGTTTCATGCAAAACAAGGTGACAATGCCACTAGAACAGGGGGGGGTGAAAGTTGAAATATGCGAGAAAAAACTGTTAGAGTAGATGTGTCTAGGTTTGCATCTAGTTATTCAGCTGTAAGACGGGGAAACTGAGTTGTCAGTCTAGTAGCACGCTTAAATTGATGTAATCAGGGCAACAGAAAAAAACCTCATCCAAGCAGTTGCCATAGAAATATTTGTAGGACAGAGGGAAGCCATATCACATCGGTGAGAAAGTGACTGGTCAGGACCGATTGTATCGCGAACCCTTCTCTGGATTTTGTCACAGTAAGAGCACCAGACCAGATATGGCAAAAGTATTGGTTTGGTTTAGTTTGTTTTATTTAACGGCATATCAACCTCAATGGTTAATTTAATGCCGACAATATTTTTACTGCTGGTAATATTTTTTTCAGAAAATTTATTGCTGGTAATACTTTTTCATCAAAAATGTATTGTTGGTAATAATTTTTCCTAAAAAAATTATTGCTGGTATTGAAACCTATTTTTACGCTTTCATAGTGTTTTGACCCCAGTTTGGGGGTTAACTATTTGCCCATAGTTGGGACCTTAACAGGTGCTACTATCACGTGTCAAGGTGAACCTGGGAACACCAACAATTAAGAGGTGGTTCCACGTTCCTCAAAACCTCCTGATCAGAGGCCTTGCTGTTGGACGTAGTTTATCGTCTTACTCAGGACGCGGATGTAGTTTATCTTCTTACCCAGGAGGTGCAACAATATTCAATATACGGATAAATCGTTGATTTATAAATGTGCAAGATGGATTCTGACGAGAAAGTTTTTTTTGGCGCGACATATCTTTTCTACCAGCAGATGCAGCAATTGACTCGATATAGTCGCCCCACTCCATGTCAGTGGAAAACGCGAGGCCAAGAAAGCGTAGAGAGTTGCTCTTCTGGTGTTCAGCATCAACCATCAAATAGGTAGAAAAGGTTCTCTGTGGTGATTAAATGAAAGCAGGTTTGTTTTGTTTTGAAAGTTACAAGCCATTTCTTGTCCCAGTTAACCACTGATTGGATATCTTTTTCAAGAGTATTTGCCGTGTATACATTGTCGAAGCTGTTGGACTTCCGTCCTGATTTCTGTTCTTTCACAAAACCTTTACGGAAAATCGTCAATTATTTTTCTAAAGGATTCTTTATTTAAATAAACGATGTATTGGGTTGTTCAAATAGCTCTTTCGGTTATTAAGTAGAAAACTTACTTCATAAAACGAACAAACGTTTTGCCCAAACAAATAATATTAATCCTTCTATATAACAGTGAATGCTGGACAGTTTCCTGACAGATGAAGAGAAAACTTGAGGCAATAGAGATGGTGTTTTACAAAAGGATGCTGAACATACATGAACGGAGCATGTGAGCAACAGGGAAGTTTTAATAAAACAGGAGCAGAAAGGATACTTATGCTTGAATCAGGGAGGTGGAGTAATGGATAGCGGCTCGGATTGAGAAGTCGGAGAGCCAAGTTCCAATTCCAATTGAATCCATTACATTTCCTTACGTGCTAATACCTGGGAAAGGCATGAATCCTCTTCTCCCCTCAGCTATGGGTAAATAGCAGGACGGACCAGGTTTTATAGCCTTGGATGACAATTGGTCTACCGCAGAAAGAAATAGCAACCTACCGCGGGAGCAACTCCTGCAGTTGGAGATTCGTTTCCAGTTGTGCTGGTCAAACTTTCTGCCTTAGACGAGGTTATGTCGAAGGGCAGAGTCTCATATCGGGAAACAGCTACCCGACACCGTTTTATACAGTGTCTATGAGAAATTTTTGGTCGAGCCTATGGGCTCGGATACACCACATTAAATTCGGCCAAGTGCCACATCTGACTGCGTGGGGAGATTGGTAGAAATCCTGCTGTTGGAGATTCGTCTGCAGTTGTGCAGGTTAAACTCTGCCTCCGGACAGAGAATTCTCAGACGAGGCTATATCGAAGGACAGAGTCTCATCTCCGGAAACTGCTACCCAACCCCGTTTTATACAGGGTCTATGGGGAATTTTTGTTTGAGCTCGGATACCCCACATTAAATTCGGCCTTGTGCCATATCTGATCGCGTGGGGCGGTTGGTAGATATTCTGCAGTTGGAGATTCATTGTGGAATTCACTTGACTCACTTCTAGCAGTTGACTACTACTTCTGCGCACCGCTGGCAAATCTTATATGTGTTGTTCTTGTCCTAAGTATTATCGTTCATTGCCAACCTTCGTTTGACTATTCTATTCAATAACCTTCCTTAGGTTACAGCAATCATTTAGGACACTCGCTAGATTAATTATTACTGAATAGTGAGTTCGATCCTTACTTTCGGCCACATCTAAGCTAAGCTTAGAAAATCACCATTCATTCACTTATGCTAGCCAGTGTTGTTATTTGTTGTTTTCTTCTGTCCGTCTTGTCTTCAAGCTGTCCTGTGAGTATCAAATTTTCTAAGTCTTCTTTCCTTATTATGTGTCCTAGATATTTATCACTTCCTGATATTAAGGATAAGTATCTTTTTTGTTTTCATTTTCTCTAAAATTTCGTCGTTTCTAATATGTTAGGTGATGAATGGTATTCTCAGCATCCTTCTGTAGAACGACATTTCTGTTTTTTCAAGTCTCTTATTCATCTGCGAGGAGGTTGTCCAGTATTCAGTATATAGGAGGACTCATATTAATGGTGTTTAAAATACGTTTAAAATTGTAAGCGTGCGGCAGTGTTCAAGAACAAATAGATCTAAGAAGTTGCGACTCTGTCCTTTGACGGAGTCGCCCCTGAGCGCACTCTGTCCAAAGATGATAAGTTGACGTGAAATTACTCAAGAAGAGTAGATATTTACTCAACCCCCCACGAGGTCAGGTTGTGACACAAGGTCGGTTTAATGTGGGGAACCCGAACGCGTACACCCGGGCAAGGAACAAAAATTGCCCTCAGCCACCGCAAACGTCGGTTGCGCTGGCCTCGGTGCGTGCACCGATCCTTCTCTCTAGTGCAATGAGAAGGCGCTGCTTCGGGCAGATGTTCCCCAGGGCCGGCACCTTTCAGTATAATTTTCCTCAGTTGCGACTCTCCTTTGACGGAGTCGCCCCTGAGCGCTCTCTGTCTAAAGACAGAGACGCAACTGAGAGACGTTATGTAGACGGTATACCAAGAAGTGAAGCCGTACGCCAGCACACTTTTAATTCACCAGGTCGCGACTAATTTGAATTTTTTTTCTGTTTTGCCTCAATATCCATCGGACTTAACTGGTAAAAATTCTGCGATATTTCCAAGTCGACATTCAATTCTATACGTAGTTCCCTGGGTGTAATCTACCGATTCGTATGAATGAACTGCTCAAGGTGAGGTTGTGTTTTGTTTATAAATGTACAGGCGCTTTGTCATGCGCATTGCTGTCGATACTGTCGAAGTCGACTTTGGTGTTAATACAGAATCACAAGGCATCTATTAAAGAACAGATGTGAAATGGCAATAATGTAAAACAGAAAAAGTCCTACGTACTTTAAAACATCCACAGACTGGAAAGTACAGACCTTTAATCTTCCGCTATGAATGAGCTGATGGCCTTTTTTGTTTTAAATGTGCGCATTCGTCTTTCGTTAATTTTTACTTGGTCAAGAATGCTTCGCCCATCCTGTAACGTATTTGCCACCATAATTCTTCAGTTTTAAACGTAAATACATAAAAAATCGTAATAAATGAATGCGATTCATGAATAAGTAATGCGATTAGAAAGAATTTCTTGCAACATTTGTCTAGGATGGCGAGTCTTTTCTCTCGTTACGTCAGCAGCTCACACAAAGATTAATGAGCGTTAGTCATTAGCTCTGCATGTGATATCGAAGTGTTCGAAGAAGCCCAAACGAATATTTAGATTGATTTGGTTTTCTTTTCTTTTCTTATTTCTTTTTCTTTTTTCTTTATTTTATTCTTTTTTTCTCTTCTTTTTCTTTTCTTCTCCTTCTTTTTCTTCTTTTTCTTTTCTTCTTCATTTTATTTTTCTCCTCTTTCTTTTTCTTTTCTTCTCCTCCTTTTTTCCTTTTCCTTCTTCTTTTTTCTTTTCTTCTTCACTTTATTCTTTTTCTTCTCTCTCCTTTTTCTATTCTTTTTGTTGTGACCAAGTAAAGGGTTAAGAAATAACAAAACCAGGATTGCAGATATATCATATATTAAACAGTAAGTACAACAGTAGAGTATTACATGTTCGATTGTTCCCCCAAGGCCTTCTCGCCTACTAATCATATATTAGGCGGAAGAGTCCAACATGGACTCCTTAGAGGGAGGACACCACAACAATTATATATATATATATATATATATATATATATATATATATATATATATGTTTATAGGCAGCAATCCTTCTTTCATACAAGCTTCATTAAATATGACAGACAAGGTTTCTTTGATTAAGTTTTTTAGATAATTTCTTATATGATCTTGTAATTTTTTCTTTTCAGTAGATAAATTATACAAAAACTGTCAAAATGTTATATTTTCCCGAACCCTTTCAGCTATACATTTAGCCATTTTTTTTTATAAAAAAAAAAAAAAAAAACATTCAATAATATCAAATATGAACATGGGCAAAATATGTTGACTGTTTTATGAGAATAAAACATTTCACAATAATAAATACATACATACGATAGGTATTTCCAGTTAACAGTTAATATGTTTCATCCTTGCTTTAAAACATAAGCATCAACACGAGGAGATAGAAAGAGTTAAAAACTTTTTGAAAAGCTAAAAGAAACCGCTCAAAGTAAATGAGTTAAAAAAGGAAAACAACAAATTATTTTTCTAAGAAAAAAAAAAACAAACACTGAAAATACAACTGTAAGTAACAAAATTTTAATTCTTCTCAGTAAAAATTCATATATTATAAATAAATATCACTATATTAAAATTACAATGTTAATAATTTTCTTTTCTTTTTCTTCTTTTTCTTTTCTTCTTCATTTTATTCTTTTTCTTCTCTCTCTTCTTCTTTTTCCATTCTTTTTGTTGCGACCAAGTAAAGGGTGAAAGAAATAAAAAAAACAAGTGTTGCAGATATACCATATATTAAACAGTAAGTACAACAGAAGAGTATTACATAGATACCTCCACGAGATCGCTAAAAAAAGAGCATAGCATGATGAAAAAGACGCCAAATTTGACGAAAACAAAATTTTATCGTCCTAATAAAACATCCATGATGATAAAATTTTCTTAATATGTACAAATATTTTTCTCCCTTTTTTTTAATTGGAGGAATGACTGAAAAATCATACCCATAAATTATGGACAAAACACACAGATGCATGCTGGGACTTTTTCTTTTCTTTTTCATTTTATTCCTTTTCTTCTCTCTCTTCTTTTTCTTCATTTTCTTTTTTTTTCTTCTTCATTTTATTCCTTTTCTTCTCTCTATTCTTCTTTTTCTATTCTTTTTGTTGTGACCAAGTAAATGGTTAAAGAAATAACAAAACAAGTGTTGCAGATATACCATATATTAAACAGTAAGTAAAACAGAAGAGTATTACATAGATACCTCCACGAGATCGCTAAAAAAAGAGAGCATAGCATGATGAAAAAGAAGCCAGTAAAATAAGTCACTTATCAGTCTCCTCTGCCATATTTCTATTCTTTCTTGATTTGAAGTCAGAACGCTGTGATCACTTGTCTGTATGCCCCTGTCTATGTTAATACCATTTTTAGTTTGTGAACCTTTTTGCCTCATTACTTTTGCTTTACCTACTTTTTTGCTTGCATATATTGTTTGTTTATTTTCTTGTCCTATTCTTCTTGTTTTCTTATTGTTTATTGTAAACTTTGTCAATTCCATCTGTTGAGCCTTTCTGCCAATTAATCTACAGCTTTAATAGACTCGAAATTACACAAATTCATTCATTGTTTTGTATTTTAATTTTTTGAACCATGTACAGTGAAACCCGGATATAAAAGACCCGGATATAAGAGAAACCCGGATATAAGAGAGATTTTCTCTGGTCCCAAAGTGTTCCCATACTTACCTAAACAAAATAGACCAAAACCGGATATAAGAGAAACCCGGATATAAGAGACTTCTTCTCCGGTCCCGACAACTCTCTTATATCCGGGTTACACTGTATAAAATTAATATTATTATATACTGTTAATCCATTTATTTAATTTTGTTTTTAATCCTTTCACTCCCAGGCAATAAAGCCATTCAGATATTAAGGGATTCCTGAGTGTGGAAGAATATGAGAAAAAAATTATTGAGAAAGAACAATAAAAGAAGAGTAATTAAGAAGAAGACATAAGAGTTGACTAGAAAGCAAGAAACCAGAATGGAGTTCCACAAGTGAAAAAGGCAAAAGAAGAACCAGAAGGGTTGCTAAGCCATAAAATTATTGAGAAAGTTCCAGTTGACTAGAAAGCAAGAAACCAGAAAAGGAAAAAGGCAAAAGAAGAATCTGTTTGTTGGTACAGAACCTGCAAAGGGTTGCTAAGCCATAAAAATTATTGAGAAAGAACAAAAAGAAGAGTAATTAAGAAAAATTATTGACTAGAAAGCAAGAAAAGAAAGTGAAAATAAAATCTGTTTGAATAGAACCTGCAAAGGGTTGCTAAATTAAAAAAGAAAGAACAATAAAAAGAGAGTAATTAAGAAGAAGACATAAGAGTTGACTAGAAAGCAAGAAACCAGAAGGAGTTCCACAAGTGAAAAAGGCAAAAGAAAAATCTGTTTGTTGGTACATAACCTGCAAAGGGTTGCTAAGCCATAAAATTATTGAGAAAGAACAATAAAAGAAGAGTAATTAAGAAGAAGACATAAGAGTTGACTAGAAAGCTAGAAACCAAAATGGAGTTCCACAAGTGAAAAAGGCAAAAGAAGAATCTGTTTGTTGGTATAGAACCTGCAAAGGGTTGCTAAGCCATAAAAATTATTGAGAAAGAACAATAAAAGAAGAGTAATTAAGAAGAAGACATAAGAGTTGACTAGAAAGCAAGAAACCAGAATGGAGTTCCACAAGTGAAAAAGGCAAAAGAAGAATCTGTTTGTTGGTATAGAACCTGCAAAGGGTTGCTAAGCCATAAAAATTATTGAGAAAGAACAATAAAAGAAGAGTAATTAAGAAGAAGACATAAGAGTTGACTAGAAAGCAAGAAACCAGAAGGGAGTTCCACAAGTGAAAAAGGCAAAAGAAAAATCTGTTTGTTGGTACAGAACCTGCAAAGGGTTGCTAAACCATAAAATTATTGAGAAAAAACAATAAAGAAGAAATTAAGAAGGAAGACATAAGAGTTGACTAGAAAGCAAGAAACCAGAATGGAGTTCCACAAGTGAAAAAGGCAAAAGAAGAATCTGTTAGTTGGTACAGAACCTGCAAAGTGTTGCTAAGCCATAAAAATTATTGAGAAAGAACAATAAAAGAAGAGTAATTAAGAAGAAGACATAAGAGTTGACTAGAAAGCAAGAAACCAGAATGGAGTTCCACAAGTGAAAAAGGCAAAAAAGAAGAATCTGTTTGTTGGTACAGAACCTGCAAAGGGTTGCTAAGCCATAAAAATTATTGAGAAAGAACAATAAAAGAAGAGTAATTAAGAAGAAAATAAGAGTTGATAGAAAGCAAGAAAAGAAACAAGTGAAAAAGGCAAAAAGAAGAATCTGTTTGTTGGTATAGAACCTGCAAAGGGTTTAAGCCATAAAATTAAGAAGAACAATAAAAGAAGAGTAATTAAAAGAAGACATAAGAGTTGACTAGAAAGCAAGAAACCAGAAGGGAGTTCCACAAGTGAAAAAGGCAAAAGAAGAATCTGTTTGTTGGTATAGAACCTGCAAAGGGTTGCTAAGCCATAAAAATTATTGAGAAAGAACAATAAAAGAAGAGTAATTAAGAAGAAGACATAAGAGTTGACTAGAATGCAAGAGACCAGAAGGGAGTTCCGCAAGTGAAAAATGTAAAAGAAGAATCTGATGATGGTGTTGATTATGATAATGTTATTTGAGTAAATGTTGATTCCAGATCTTTTTGGAATGAGTGTAAAAAACACCCCCCCTCCCCAAATTTATAGACAATGTCCTCTACCATATTTCTGTTCTTTCGTGCCTTGAAGTCAGAATACTGCAATCACATCAGTCTTAGTTTGGGTACCATTTTTGCCTCATTGCTGATGCTTTGCCTACTTTTGTCTTGCATATATTGTTTGCTTAATATTATTTTCTTGCCTTGTTCTTTTCTTTCTTGTCTTATTCTTTATTGCAATCTTTGTCAATTCTGTTTGTTGGGCATTTCTTCCAATTACATTTAACCATCACCAATTACTCTACAGTAAATAACATTATAATATAATCAGGCTTGGTAGAAGTGACTATCTGAGGTAAAATTCTACCCTATAGTAGTGAATGTTGGGGGTAAATTTTGGTTATGGGAGGCCTCAACTTCACTTTATATATATATATATATATATATATATATATATATATATAAACATTTACTTAATTCAATGTAAGTATGTAGTGTGTAAGTATAAAGGATCAGCTGGTTCTGATGAAGTTCAATGGTACTTTGTTACAATAATTCCTTTTACACTATTGGTAATAATAATGATGATGGTGTTGATTATGATAATGTTATTTGAGTAAATGTTAGTCCCAGATTTTTTTGAAATGTGTGTAAAAAGCAACCCCTCCCCAAATCTATAGACAAACTATACAGATGCATTCTGGGATTTCTTCCTAGCCAATAAGATAGGCCACTTCTCAATGTCCTCTATCATATTTCTCTTCTTTTGTGTCTTGAAGCCAGAACACTGCAATCACACCAGTCTTTGTGAACCATTTTTGCCTCATTGCTGATGCTTTGCCTAATTTTGTCTTGCATATATTGTTTGCTTAATATTATTTTCTTATCCTTTTCTTTTCTTTCTTGTCTTATTCTTTATTGCAATCTTTATCAATTCTGTTTGTTGGGCATTTCTGCCAATTACATTTAACCATCACCAATTACTCTACAGAGTACACCATTTTTCTACATCAATAACTAGTTTAATTAATGGCTTTCATTAGTTCTAAATCAATCCACATAAAAGAGGATCCCTGAAAGATATAACAGGGAAAGATCATTCTACTTTGTGAATATCTCATAATTAGGGTCTCTCATACTTCGACCCTACACTCTTACTACTGAGCTTATCAAGAATGAACACTTTATTCGTGTTACTATATATTTTTTTATTGCTAATATCTACCTAGGTATATCAATTATATTCGTAACCTAATGATGAAAAAACCCAAAACGAAACAAAACATTATTCTTGGGTTTTATTACGTCTTGACGAATCGATTGGAAAGGTGATTCCTTTAAGATAGAAACTGGAAACGCCCTTTTTTCTTCGTGAATATATGATAATTAGTGTCTATGATACTTCGACCCATCAGTCTACAGTTCTGTGCTCTTACCGCTGAGTTTTGTAAGAATGTACTTAGTGTTGTCAATGTGGGTGTAAATTTTTTTTATTGTTAATTTATATTCTACCTCAGTTCAACTATAGTCCAGTTCACAAAATGAAAAACTAAAATAATCAATTCAGAAAGAAGTCAAAACGATATATATATATATATATATATATATATATATATATATATATATATATATATATGCAGAGACAGAGATAGAAATAGAGATAGAGAAAAGACAAATGAGAGGAGAGAGAAACCGAAAGAAAACAAGTGATAAAAAGAGAAAGAAAGAGAAAGAAAGAACAAGAGAATTAGAGAGAGAGGGAGAGGACGAGAGGAAAGCATAGAAAAATAATTAAATAAAAAAATAAAAAGGAAGAGAGTGATATATATATATATATATATATATAGAGAGAGAGAGAGGGGATAGAGAGGGAGAGAGGGGGGATAGAGAGGGAGAGAGGGAAGAGAGAGAGGGAGAAAGAGGGGATAGGGAGGGAGAGAGGGAAGAGAGAGGGAGAGAGAGGGAGAGAGAGGGGAAGAGAAAGGGAGAGAGAGAGAGAGAGGGAGAGAGAGAATTATAAAAATAAGAGAGCGGTATAAGGACAAAAGGAGGAAGAACGATTAAGCTGATCAAGAATCTGAGAGAGAAAAAAGAAACGAGATAATGAAAGAAATAGAGAAAGAAAGAGAAAGTGTGAGGAAGAAAGACGAATGGAGTGAGAGTGATCAATTAAGAGAAAGAAAAAGACAGGCAGAAGGATAGAAAAGAGAAAAGAGTAAAATACGGAAATCAAAAGAGAAAGAAAAAAAAAGTGGCTCTTGAAACATAAAACACTTTTTTTTTTATTTCAATTTACGTTTGTTTTCGACTTGACTATCAAAGAAAAATCATGAAAGAATTGGCTTTTATCAAGACGCATTTTTTATTCGGCTACTGAACAATTCAGCTGCTTTTTTGCTTCATTCATTTTTTTTTTAATTCTGTGTCTTTTCGATTTTTCACAAATACTCCGGCAGCGTCATGTCTGTAGTAAGCGCACGCTTATGCCTTCGACATGATAGTGTTTATTGGGTGAAACATGTGGCGGAAGTCGCTTGACAAAAGAGCGGGAAGATCGACTTTTTTCGAATGCTTACTTGGATAAAAGCGGAGAAAAAGGCTGGAAAATTGAAATATCGATAAGCATAATCGATATCTATTATAAAGAACATTGATGAAAGAGAAAGTATTAGGTACCTTGAATAGATTCTTTTATAATGATGGAAATGATGGAAGTGATGAGAAGAAAACGAAGTAAAGAAGAAAGTATAAAGGAAAGAAAGAAAAAAAAACGAACGAAAGGAATGAAGGAAGGAAAAAAGAACAAAGTGGAGAAAAGCTTATAAGGAAAGTAAAAGATGAAGGAGAAGAAGAAAGAAAGACAAAAGAAAGAAATAATAAAAAAAAGTGAAATGAAGAAAATGGAGATTAGAAAAAAGTAAAAAACCTACTAAAGTAACAGGAAACATAAAAAAAAGAAAACAGAAAGAAAGAATGAATCAAAGAAAGACTGAAAAGAAGAAAAAAGCAATGAAACAAATGAAGAATGAAAGAAAAATGAAGGAAAGAATGAAGAAAGAGAGAAGGAAAGGGAAAAGGAAAAAGGTAAGAAAGAAGTAAAGAAGGAAAGAAGAAAAGGAATAAAAGAAAGAAAGAAATAATGAAAGACAGAAGGAAAAAGAGAAATAAGTAATTAAGGAAGGAAAGAAAAGATGAAGGCAAGAAAGATTGAAAGAAAAGAAAGAAAAGAAGAGAAATAAGGAAGAAAAGAATGGAGAAAGGTAAGTTAAATATTTAAAAAGAATGGGAAAGGGAATGAATATAAAACCGGGGAAAAGAAAGAAAATAAGAAGGTACATAGTGTATATAGGGTGAAAGAAAATTGTTGTATATAAAAAATAACTGAGACACAGAAAAAGAAAACAAATATGCAGGGTAAAAAGAAAGGAAAATAAAGGAAAAAGAAAGAAAAAAAAAAAGGAAAAAGCAACTGGGAGAAAGATAAAAAAAAAAACCGAAATGGAAAGCAAAACGAAAAACGAAATTTAAAACCTTATTTTCTCTTTTTCTATCTTTTTTAAACAAAAGAAAGCAAGCGGGTGAAAATGAAATAATAAATGTAAAAAGAAAGAAATGAAGGTAAACGAAAAGATGGAAGCGAGGAAGAAAAGTAAAAGACAAACTAGAGACTGTAAAAAGGAGAAAAATAAATTAGAAAAACGGACCAAAATATCAAATGTAAAAAAGGAAGAAGAACAAAGGATGAAAATCGGAGAGGGAGAGAGGGGGGGGGTGAGAGAGAAATAAAAAGATTAGCAAGAAAACAAAGAGAGAAAGAGGGAAAACGAAGAGAGTAATATGAAAGGAGAACTAACGGCGGGAAACGTAAAAGTCTGCAGACCTTAAAGTAGTAAAAAAACCTTGCTCTTGTCTTACTTCATTTGTGTAATAAACCGTAAAAGAATTTAAAAATTCGGTTAAAATATTCCAGTTGTAAAACATTTTACCAAAAAGGATCCCTCTACCCATTCTGATCTCATACTGAGGTCAAAATTTAACTTCCCAATATTTTCTTTCTTCTACTATTTATCTTTCTTTCTTTCTTTCTTTCTTTCTTTCTTTCTTTCTTTCTTTCTTTATTTATCTTTCTTTCTTTCTTTCTTTCTTTATTTCTTTCTTTCTTTCTTCTATTTATCTTTCTTTCTTTCTTTCTTTCTTTCTATTTATCTTTCTTTCTTTCTTTCTTCTACTATTTATCTTTCTTTCCTTTTTTCTTTCTTTCTTTCTTTCTTTCTTTCTTCTACTATTTATCTTTCTTTCTTTCTTTCTTCTACTATTTATCTTTCTTTCTTTCTTTCTTTCTTTCTTTCTTTATTTCTTTCTTTCTTCTACTATTTATCTTTCTTTCTTTCTTTCTTTCTCCTACTATTTATCTTTCTTTCTTCTACTATTTATCTTTCTTTCTTTCTTTCTTTCTTTCTTTCTTTCTTCTACTATTTATCTTTCTTTCTTTTTATATTATATTCATTTTTATTTTATTTTTTCTATTATTCACTTTAGTGGCAGAATACATTAAATACCAAGTGAATAAAAAATTCAGTTGTAGGCTAAACTCTTTTCTATAAGTTTAAAAGATTTACAAGTGATCATTTACTCCTATATCGATAAACATATATCCAACGTTATAGAAAACACACACACACACACACACACACACACATATATATATATATATATATATGTGTGTGTGTTTAATGTGTGTGTGTGTGTGTGTACTCTTCCAGAAGGGTTTTACAATATATTGAATAATAATAATAATAATAATAATAATAATAATAATAATAATAATAATACTCATGATGGTAATAACAAAATTAACCCAATACTTCAAAATGGTTCGTTAAAACCTTATTTCTCTTTGTCAAATGTTGGCAACTGGTAATCTAATGGACTGGCAGACTTTAAATCTTAAGCAACATAATATCCAAATAATTGGACAATATGCAAATTTTAGTTAACACCCTCTCTAAATAACTGGAAAACATGCAAATTTTAGGTAACATCCTCTCTAAGTAATTGAACAACATGCAAATATTAGGTAAGGTCCTCTCTAAATAAATGGACAGGATGCAAATTTTAGTTAACACTCTCTATAATTTTGGTGACATCTTCTCTTAATAATTGGACACTATGCAAATTGTGGGCATCACCCCCTCTGAATAAATGGACAGCATCCAAATTTTAGGTAACATCCTCTCTAAATGATTGAACAATATGTAGATTTTAGGTAACACCCTCTCTAAATAATTGGACCCCATGCACTCATAAGTTAAATAGATTCAGCACCAAATAAGGTATGAAACCTTTTAATTATTAAATCCTAGATGTGGTCAGAAATAATAAAAAACAAACAAACTATACTTACATTTTATTTGCAGTATGCAAATAATCTACAAAATATCGAGCTGATTTTGTAATTTTGCATATTACTGTTGAATTTTTGTTTATTACAATGATGTACTCTATAATTAGAACATTTAGAAAGAAATTTGAAATATTACAAACAGCTATAAAAGTGACATAAAATCTATATGAAACTTGTGGAGATAAACCTATTAAATCCGTAGCATGTCCAGATTCAGTTTCTCCCAAAACGACTAGCTTGTTTACTAACAAGGTCATTGGAATGGAATCTGGTCTTTAAGTGGGGGGCGACTGTATTTCAAAGTAAAAAAAATTGTTTTTACGCAGTTTGCATGTATAATGAAATCTGGAATTCCCGACATAAGTTATTTCATAATTACATTGTGAAAAGATTTAATTGCAGCATAAAAACTGACATATATATATATATATATATATATATATATATATATATATATATATATATATCAAATATGTGGTGCAGTTCAATTTTTATTACATCAATCATTCATACAAGAAGTAGATTAGTAAAGTTAATGATATAAATGATATAAATGGCGAAAAACATTTTCGCAAACAATTTTAAAGTTGCATTAACCTACGAATCACTCGATGAATGTTATGATCTTTGTTTTTAATAACTTCAAGTTGTATAAGATCTTTTTTTAATCTGTCAGTACTTTCGTCTGTACTTGCAGCCATCCTCAGGCATGGAAATTATTTTGTTTTTAGTAGATCCACGTAATAGCGGACACGAAAAATTAAATGTCAATCGAAATATATTTTTTTTTTAGAAATATGTTATTGTTAACGGATAAAGACTTATAGGGCGTGCAGTCGCAACGCTAAGGTTGAATTTTTTTGAAAATTTAAGAGAGTGCGTTCTTTTTTTTTACTAATATGGTAATTTGAAAATTTCTTTGTTGTAAGAGTTTTTCGGTCAATGTGGCATGAACTAAATTGTTCAGTAAATAGAGTAATGTCTCAGCTGTTATCCCGAAAATGTGCACGTCGGATCAGTTCTTTTTAAATCAAATATGTGGTGCAGTTCAATTTATATTACATGAATCATTCATACAAAATGTAGATTAGTAAAGTTAATGATATTTATACACTTTTCTCTCGTTGGAACAACTATAACCTCATCCCTTTAAATATATATATATATATATATATATATATATATATATATATATATATATATAATCGACTCTCCCGTCGAGATTCGGCGTATGAGGGTCAAGCAGATCAGTTTCAAGGAAACCGACAGCCCGACACCAGCACATGAGAGTTGATTATAGTGGTGACGGCATCGTGCAGAACCATCCACACTTTTTGAAGGGACGAATACAGAGACCTGGTGCACCGAATGCCACAAGGTTCCCAAACGACCCTCCGCAGGTTTTGAATTCAGGGTTGTCCTTTCCCCTAGACCATATATATATATATATATATATATATATATATATATATATATATATATATAAAAGGGGTGGGATAAAGTTTCTATACAGTTACTTATAATAAAAAAGCAACGCATTGAATCTAGTGGCTTGCAGTTGGAACAGTATCAGTAATAAATTTACTATAGTTTACCATAGTATTTTATTGTTATTAAGCAGAATTAACGAGAACTATTTTAATAATAAATTTCTATACTGTTGATTAATAGCTTTGTATTAATTGTTATTGTAAGTAAATGTTTAGTGACTTTATTGCCACCCTACACACACACACACACATATATATATATATATATATATATGTATATATATGTATGTATAAATATAAAAGTGAACATTGAAGTCAACACTCAGAGGCGACAGGCTGTTTCATGCATGAAACAGTCTGCCGCCTCTGAGTGTTGACTTCAATGTTAACTTTTATATTTATATTTACATACGCTCTATTCATAAATATAGCACACTTTAAAACTATATTTCTTCATATATATATATATATATATATATATATATATATATATATAAAACAGATGTCTGTCTGTGTGTTGTAAATTTCGTAAAATGGTCATGGTCAAAACTGTTAAAAAAGTCCGTTTTTCCGCCATAATTAACTGATTTTTCATCTGATGCTTTCCATGTAACTTACATATAACACAGAAATTGTTTTACGTGAATGTTTGGTCTAGATTATTCCAGTTAAGTGGACGAAATCTGCGACAAAACTAATTCCAAAATCGGCTTTTACCATTTAGCCAATAGTTTCTTCTCATAATTCCACTCTAAAATGGTATTCGAACAACCTTTGATGCAAAATTATTTGAGAAGGATTATTGATGCATTAAAAGGGAAAATTTACCGAAGAATCACTTATTAACCCCAGCTTTACAGTAAAAGTGCGAAGAAGGAGAGATGCGTTCATGCTTTTGCCCTTGCTGTTGAATCAAGGTCTGACGCATCATCCCTGCTTTTGTCTGATTTTTAAGTTTGTGAACAATGCCTTACTATTTGAAAGTTATTACGGCCATAGGAAATTTACTGAATATCTAAAACATTGAAACAATTAGGTAGTTAATTCCTCTTTCCCTCTTGCCTTCAATACGTCCTGTGAGTATCAAATTTTCAACGCAGTCTTTCCTCATTATGTATACTAGAAATGTTTACATTTTTCTCATTCTATGTGTAATTGTCCTTTTGGTTCCATTTTCTTTAAAACTTTTTCTTTTGTCTCTCTTGTCTTCAATATATCTCGTAAGTGTCAAATTTTTCAAGCCCTCTTTACTCACCATGTTCTCTGAAAGTTTCAATTATAAAAGCACCCTCGTTACTCACATGTTCAGTCCATGTTATTCTCAGCATCAATTTCTATTACCTCTTCTTCATCTGCCAGGTGATTGTTCAGCATTCCCTACCATGTACGATGTTGTAGCACACCTATGGACGATAATGGGTATGTCCCCATTCACATAAATACAGTAGTAAATACTGTAGGTTGGTGTGCAGTCGAAGATTCGTCTCCAGCTGTGCAGGTCAAACTCTCTGCCTCCGGGCAGAGAGAATCCCCAGACGAGGCTACCCGACCTCGTTTTAAACGGGGTTTACGGGGATTTTTTGTCCGAGCCTACGTGCTCGGATACCCCATATTAAATTCGGCCTTGTGCCAAATTTGACCGCGTGGGGCAGTTAGTAGTTATCCTGCAGTTGGGGATTCATTGTGGAATTCACCTGACTCACTTCTAGCAGTTGACTACTTCTACGCGCCGCTGGCGAATCTTATATATATCGTTCTTGTCCAAAGTATTATTGTTCATTACCGACCTTCGTTTGATTATTTTATTCAGTAACCTTCCCTAGGTTAAAGCAGAAAAGAGAGAAAAGAGAGTTTGGAAAATATGACACTCACAGGACATATGGAAGGGAAAACAGAGAAAAGCAGCGAATAATCTACCTAACAAGCTTGTGTAAACGGTTGGGAGAACATAGATTAGAAGAGATAGCAAAAAGCGCACTTTACTAAGAATTGTAAAGGATAAGAAATTGTGGAGAGCTATGATCAACCAGCTGTGCAGGTCAAACTCTCTGCCTCCGGGCAGAGAAGATCCCCAGACGAGGCTATGTCGAAGGGCAGAGTAAAGTCTCGGGAAACAGCTTCCTGGCCCTGTTTTATGTAGGGTCTACGAGGAATTTTTGCCCGAACCTACGGGCTCGGATACCCCATCGCGTGGGATGGTTGGTAGATATCCTAGAGTTGGAGATTCATTCTGGAATTCACTAGACTCACCACTAGCAGTTGGCCTACTTCTACGCGCCGCTGGCGAATCTTATATGCGTTTTTCTTGTCCTAAGTATTAGCATTCATTACCAACCTTCGTGTTATTATTCTATTCAGTAACCTTCCCTAGGTTACAACATAGGAAGACCAATATTACATGAGAGTAATGGAAAATTTTCCTGTTTCTTTGCGGAATTTTTTAATAGTAACCTTTGCTATTCCAGTACAACTTTGAAATTCGGTGCTGCATTTTTATCTAAAAAAATTCTTACAAACTAAAAAAAAATTCTGGCTTTAAATAATCTGCGTAGAGTTGATAAACCGTAGAAAATGAATCAAACCAACAGAGAGCCGAGTTCGAATTCTAGTCGGGTTCATTAAAATTACTTAATCACGAATACGTT